TTAGTACGGTATTTTTGCTACGCTTCCCAAGGACAGTTTTATGCTGCATATATATATATTATTCACTCGTGCTTCTGGCTTACGGAATATACTCTCCCGTTCAAAGCTTGGACTTCTTCCTCTAGTTAGCGGGGCTGGGACGCAGCAAATAGCTAGCTTGTTGGTCTACGGTTAAAAGTCTTTGTCCCGTTCGCATACTAAATGAACTCGTAATAGCTTCAAACCTAGCACATCGCAAACCTCATTCAAAATATCTGCTGGCGTTTTGTGTTATCCAATCACAAGCACCTTCGACCGATCCTTCCTAACTAATCTCATGTCTAAAATGTGGAGAAAGATAAGGATAATCTTCGTAGCTAAGAAGACTTCTGACAATAAGAATGTGAAATTTAGACTCACGGCAATAAATTCACCTTTCCTCAAAACAACTGAGAAATTACTGATACTCTTACTTCGGCCAACACTAAAAGAGTGCATTGATTTATGTCAGTTTGCATACAAGTGCAAAAGAAACACCTTATTTACTGCTGTTGTTCGGAATCACAATATATTATTCAGCTTAGAAAAGGGTAAGAAGTATGTTCGATGAGATCTTTTCGATTGTACTTTTACCTTTGACTCTATTCCAAGACAGCTTTTACTTAAGTTATTCAGTGTCAACACTGACAGCTGGATAATCAACTGTCAATGTTCCCACCTTTCTGGAAGAGAGTAGTACACTGTTTGAAAGAAAGTGCCCGATACTTATACTGTCACATGAAGGTGTTCCACAAGTACATGTTACCCTTTTCCCTTTTTTGCATGATCCTTCGTGTTCCACAGAAAACACTCTATAAACGTGCGAACGATCTCACTATATATATCCTGATGTTTACCTCTTTACATCCCCTTTGATACGAATGAGATCCTATTCCTATTAAATGGTGGCCTGTTGTCAAATGTGTCACACTTGATCCGTCTAAATGTCAGACTTCTAACTTTAGCCTGAGACATGAACAGCACCTAAACACCCTGTTGGAATCCCGTTAATATTTTGCTATCGGAGAATTCGATAAACGCTGTGTCAAACGGCTTTTATCTTAGTGTAAGTTTTTCCTCCGACTTCTCATAGCCTCCTCATGTTTTATTGTTATCAAAGAACGTTTACTGTCTGACATCATTAGTGGCTTTATTCAATATTGCATTTCTGGTACAATATAGAATTTTCAGCAAAATGCATTTCGACAAGTTTCTCTTGCAAAAAAGAAAAAAAGTGGAAAAACTGACAACTGCATATATACATAGATTCAATAAATAAAATACCCGGAATAAAAAGAAGTCTTTTTGTAAGATTTGAATCCGTACAACTTTTTTTAAACTAAAAACATGTTTAAGAATACTAATTAATGGCTAGTTCAATTCTAACAACCTGTTCATCAGATAGTATGTCTACCGGATGAGGTAATGTAGAGCTCTTATACTTCATAAAGAGGCTGCATGCTTTTGGGATTAATCGACATTTGCTCTTACGATTTGTCAATTCTAGCATATTAATTATTATTATTTACTGTCCTTCATTACTCTTTCCTGTCCTTTTGAAAAAATAACTGCGCTGTATTGATCAAACTGCTGAAGGCTGTTAGCAGGGTGTGTGGTGAATCTTTTAGGGCCATTAACAACATGGATGTAGGTAGAGATCTTGCAAACTCCCGACAAGTATTATCATGTCAGATAATAACTATTCACTTCAGTTATATATTCCTCTCAGTGGTCTTGAGGTTAAACGTTCGCGTGCGAGAATGACGGGTCCTGATTACGGATCTTGAGAGGCGGGATCGTGGATGCGTACGGCTGAAGAGTCCCACACTAGGATGAAACGGCCGTCCAGTGAGTTTAGGTTTTCTAGGAATTTGTTAGTGCATTTACCATGTGTTTCCCAGTAAAACATGTGAAAGAAGCGACTAGGCACGACTCGGACTCTGAATCATCCATGTTAGGTCTTATATTGACCCATTATGAGAATGACATCACGAATCTCGATTACATGCCACCCTAAGTAAAAGTGATCATGCAGTTCTAAGCTTTGACTTCCATATAGTTGTCAAAAAAGAGCAAGCGTCAGCTCAATCCAGACCTAACATCTGCAAAGCAAATATACGAGATATTATACACTCAGCATCGTCAATAGATTAGACAATAGAGCCAGAGTCCCCAAATGAAGAAGCTTGGGACGTATTTCAAACTTTATCCTTGAAAGTTACTGCACCCCATATCCCTTGGATTAAAGCAAGAGGCCGGGAAACTCTCCACCATGGTTCACTAAAGAGGTTCGCACTCTTCTCTGTAAGCGAAAAATGGAGGATATATTCAGGTTACTGGCGACTGATGATACAAAGTCTTAGTATCGAGAAGCTCGGAATACCTGTGTATCGACACTGAGTAAGTCTAGAAGGTTGTACGAAGAGAAAATTGTGAAGAAGTCTATAGAATGTCCCAAACTCCTGCATTCTCATATAAAGCAAAGGACAGAAAGAAGAAGAAGTATTCCCGCACTGTGAGGGGTCAGCAATGCCTTATAGTTAGTGGAGGACGACTTTGGTAGAGCTCAAGTATTTGCAAACTACTTTACTTACTTACTTACTTACTTACTTACGCCTGTTACTCCTGATGGAGCATAGGCCGCCGACCAGCATTCTCCAACTCACTCTGTCCTGGGCCTTCTTTTCTAGTTCCATCCAATTCCTGTTCATTTTTCTCATGTCTATCTCCATTTCTCGGCGTAATGTGTTCTTTGGTCTTCCTCTTTTCCTTTGGCCTTGAGGATTCCATGTGAGGGCATTGCAAACTACTTTAGCAGTGCATATATCGTAGAGACGCCGTTCCCATCAGTCCACACATATACCCCTCAAACGCACTAGAGAACGTGATCGTTAAAGAACCCCATGTCTTTGGCCTGCTGAATGAGCTGCATCCTAGGATACTAAAGGAATTAGCTAACCCTATAAGTATATGCTTTAGTCTATCCGTAGCCCAGGGTCGTTTACCAAAAGTTTGGAGGAACGAAATAGTAAGTCCTATCTTCAAAACAGGTACAAAACGTGAACCTGAGAATTACCGACCCGCTAGCCGGACTAACGTGGTTGTTAAAGTTTTAGAAAGGATTATTCGGAAGGAGCTGTTTGAGTATCTCGATGAAAAAAGGATCCTTTTGGAGAAGCAGCATGGTTTAAGCATAGGTTATTCCTGTCTCACTGACTTATTAGTAGCTTGTGAAAGCTGGTGAGCCCTTAAAGGCCAAAAGTTACCTATAGACGTAGCCTACATTGACATCAGCAAAGCTTTTGAAAAAGTTCCTCACAACCGGCCGTTGTATAAGTGAAGAAATGTCGGGGTTGGAGGCAATCTATTGATGTGGATAAAAGACTTCCTAGTTGGGTGCAAAAAAAGAGGACGGGCGAACTCAAAGTTATCCAGCTGGGAAACTGTGCTTAGTGGAGTGCCTTAGGCTATAGTTTTGGGGCCGATGTTATCCCGTCTATATGTAAACGACCTTCCTCGCTTCCCATTATAATTGGTCTTGCTATATGCTGACGATGTCAAGGTATGAAGAGCGATAAGAAGTAGGGGTGATAGCTTAGAATTTCAAAATGATCTGGAGAAATTATCTGAATGGTTTTAAACCTGGCAGTTACCGATAAATACTTCCAAGTGTATTGTGATGCATATTGGTCATCAAGGTGCAAATACATCTACGGTGAATAACATTGAGCTACCTGTTGTCCAGACACATAATGACTTAAGAGTCATCGTTAGTCAAAACCTAAGGACTACTGCACACTGTTGTGTAACAACTGCCAAAGGTTTTAGAATCCTATGGTCAATACGCAGAGCCTTTATTCATGTTGACGCTTAAACTTTTTTGAATTTGTACACAGTGTTCGTGCGTATTAAACTTGAGTACTGCATACAAGCGGCCTAGCATCTGCTTAAAAAAGACAGTGTGATTTTGGAAAAGGTTCAGAGAACAGCAACTAAGCTGATTCCCGGAATAGCGAAGCTTCTGTATGATGCTCGATTGGCTTAGCTAAACCTATTCCCGTTGTCATATCGAAAAACTACAGGTGACTTGGTTACGGTTTTCAAATTACTTAGTAATAAATTTGCTCTTGATATGCCCTCATTTTTCTTGTCTTCAGAAACAGAGAATTTACAAGGACACTCCAAAAATTTCAAAAGCTCAGAACAAATTACTTGTAAGCTGATTATCGACTTTCCCATCTAATTATCAACGAGTGGAGTTCATTATTTCAGCACGTGGTTGAGGCTCCATCCATCGGCTCTTTCAAAAGAAATTTTGATCAATTGGGAGACCTCCATTGCCAGGACAAAAGCAGACCATCAAGTCTGTTGTTCTTTCCAAACTGAAACCGATCTCTTCTGGTAGAAGGAGACGTCAATACATTAGAATCCATGCACTCGAGGAGTATAAAAGCTCCATAATAACTTATCTAGCAAATATACTACGTGGCAAACAACTTGTTAGAAGTGCTATAGTCAATAACTTGCAGTCTGAAAAATATTTTTTCAATTAAAAAGATTGTACAGACTCAAATTTTTTTAAAAAGACAATTCATTTAATTCCAGGTAGCTTATCTAACCAAATTATGTATATATGTATTCAGTTCTTTGTAAAACAAACTCGTTGAATTAACCTGTGCTAAAAATTTTATATTGCACCAAATATTGATTATTAAGCAAAACCATTAATAATAATACTCAACCTTAATATGAATGCATTCACTCATGAACCTCCGCTAAGAAGACTGTTCGGATTTTGCAGTATCCGAATCCACAGAACGGATAAAAGAAACAATGTGAGCTAATAAACTGTAATATTGATGCTTTATTTTAGACGCTTATTTTACATGTAAATATGCTGATCTTGAACAATGATCATTTACCGCTCTTGGTTTTAACGTTACCGTTACTTTCTGTATGTTGCTTAATGAGTTTAAAAACCTATGCGTCGAAAATACCGACTAGTTGTTCTAGGTAGTGGGGGAGTAGGTAAAAGCGCCTTAACAGTGAAGTTTGTTTCCGGAAAGTTTGTGGAAAAATACGATCCCACAATTGAAGATTTCTATCGTAAAGACATTCTGTAAGTTTTTCACAGTGTTACGTCTTCACTTTAAGCTTTAAGTCTCTTATTATCCGTTCCCTTTAAATATAGTCAGCTTGTAAATCGCTTCACACCCCATGTGTTGTATCTTTGCGTACTTGAAGTTAAATACATAGCTTATATAAGCTATTAATACGCGTCTCAACTACCTGAGTTGATGAATACTTAGCGCATAAACTTTAATGACTAAGATAGCATGTGACTATTTAGTCATTTATACCTTCCTAATAACTGTTGTTTTCACAAGACAGTGTAACCTTCAATGCACATACCTCTTGTATCCATATTCTTATTCTTGTGCTTAAGTGTGCGCGTGTGTATACTTATTACTGTACCCAATCCCTGTCCCTTTGTCGCACTACGCATTATCTATTTTGAGTGGGAATGTTTACCTTCTCCGTTTCCTATCTCTTTGTCTGCCTGCTGAAATATATGAAATATGAACATTTGAAACTAGTATTCGGCTTTTTGTAGCCACGTTATTATTAACAGGATTTGCTGACAGACCATGTGCGATGTAAGTAGAATGTATATTTCGTCTACTTCATTAACTATTCGGCCATATTGGGGTCACACCTCAGTCGTTAAATCTCAAGTTGGAAATCGCCAACTTAGGTCTTTGAATCCGTGCCAATATTTCGTCATGCACCAATCCAAAAGAAGTGGTGAGAACTCCAAAATAAGTGAGTTCGTTTATGCGTGTTAACGTAGACCAGTCATGAAACAATATTTTGCATTTAAAAGAAGTGAAACACCAAACACACGTTGTTTCTCAAGGCAATCAAAAGACTATATTTTGTCGTCTGTATACTCTAATTCCCTAAGTACATCTCTGTTGGTAGATCGATCTTTTAAAATTTAGTGAGCAAGGTGTTATCTTTAAAAGGCTGTTGATGACAAATTAATGTTAAGATATAGAAAGTGAGTAACCCTGACAAACAATTAATGTTATCGATTCTGACGATAACTTCCCATAAGCTTTCAGTTCAACCTGTAGTTACCTAGTAGACATCGTTCACATCTCCAACTCTTGACCGATGTCTGAGTGGGATTTTCTCCCAATTATTAGACAGACCTACGACTAAAACTTTCATCGCTGATTGTTTATGTAGAATCTGGGGAATCGATAGGATCTCAATTTAATTACCCAATTCTAACAATAACAGTCGTCCTTATATTGACAGAGATCATATACAGGTTGCTATGATACCATTAACACCATGGAATAGAAATCGAAGAATTTCAAGCATTTTATCTAAGTTAGCTATTGTGTTATGGCTCGTTCCATCATGATACAATACGGAGCCTCTGTAAAACTCAACAAAAAATGAAGACGGGAATGTGAGCAGACACTTACATGGGGAATTTCTACCAATGGAGGCAGATAGCTAAAGCTAAATAGATTTAAATATTAACTAGTCATCACGTAAATAGCCCATATATGATGAGTGAAGCCCATTAAAAGATAAGTAACTGATGTACTGTCATAGGAGAAAACCATGTAATAAACATTATGGCTCAACTACCAAAGTAAGAAACCTATTTCACACTGGTTCGGACTGTTTTCTACAATTAAGATGTAACAAAAGTAGCTAAAAGTCCCTCAGATCACGATCAATATATGTAGTATTTTGCTATTGGTTTGTACTGAATCGTCTGACTGTATGTAGGGTTGATATTTCAATTTACTGGTTAGAGATATTGAGTTTGACTATGCTTATACAATAACACCTGATCGCTTTATTATTCTAATCTTAATTATTATTTATTGTTTTTTCGGTTTCTTTTATTACACGGATTCTATGCACATTTTCTTATGTTAAAAAGGTAACACTTTTAACCAGTAAGGCCTACCAAATTGTTTGTTAGTTCAATCAACTAACCCTTAAAATCTCTTTCAAGTGTTGTAGTATAACGATAATACAGAAGTATCTCAGTGATTTTACTAACTTTATCCAAGTCCTGTTGGTAGGTGTGGACTACATGGTTTGGCCCCACACAACAACCGTGATCAACATGGTCCAAAGTTAGTTGCAACGGCATAAATACAGTTACCTATTATCGCTTGGTCTTCGGGTTCCAACATTCATGTCTTTACTCAATAAATTCATTCGTTTTCGAACCATATCCTCTATCTTATAGTCTTTTCTACTGTCAATAATACTTTTATTTTGACTTTGTTCTGTCCATCTTGTTGATTTGATCTCTCTTCACTGATATGGTGTAGTGTCTTGGTCATACATTGATTATGATTTGCTATTTGCTGTCTTATTTTCCTGAGGAGTTAATTTAATGTTATTACGTGTCAATTTTTTTTAAAAAATTGGCCTGCACATGAAGTATCAAAATGTAATTTATCAAGCGTAAAGTTCATTGATTAATCTTTCGTCATATATTTTTAATTTAAGTAAATCTCAAAAGCTGTATAACTGTCAACATCAGGACTAAGGTTACTTTTCTGTTAATTATTATTAATATCGTTCATTTTCTAAAATATAAATTGACATTCCAAGTAGATAAGATATATTCAAAATTTTCACATTTAGGGTTGATGGTGTTCATCATACTCTAGAAATTTTGGATACTGCTGGAACAGAACAGTTTTCTTCCCTGAGGGATTTGTATATACGAAATGGCCAATGCTTTTTGGTTGTCTATAATCTTGCCAGCCGTCAGACATTCAGCGATATACGTAACATGAGAGACAATATATTGAGAGTAAAGGGTCTACAGCCAGGCTCTGTACAGTCTGTACCTATAGTTCTCGTTGGAAATAAAGCTGATTTGGCACTAAATGGTCATCGGGAAATAGATCCACAAGAGTCTGAAACACTTGCCGCCCAATGGTGTTGTCCACATTTAGAGACGTCTGCAAGAGATGACGTTGGAGTAAATGAAGCATTTTTAGAGGCAGTACGTCAGGTAAGGTTTGGATACTTCCATAAATATTCTTTTATCGAGGGATATAACTAGCAGCGGTATATATATTACTCATAAGCGAGCTATATGAATTCAATACTGATTCGTTAGTAAAAATTGTTTCAATCAATAATTTAGTGCTTTTTCCATTGAATAAGGAATGTAGATATTTTTATTCACCTCAGGATAATAGCATGATAGTTACACGATAAATTATGTGTCAAATATTCCCTCGTTTAACTTCATGTATTAGATTTAATTGTAAATATTTATATTTCACTTAATTCATCACATCGATGGATTGGGAGATTGGACTAACATGGTACGTATTCCATTGAAATCATAAATTAATCAATGTTGGACCACCATTAAAAACCAGGAAGCATTGGACGGCCGTTTCTTTCTAGTATGAGACTCCTCAACAGTGTGCATCCACGACCCCGCACTCGGGAACCGAACTCAGGACCTCTGGTTTCGCGTGCGTACTTAACCCCTATACCACTAAGCCAGCATCCAATGGTATTAATGTCTAACTTTAACCAATCTACGATATTGCGCGATAATCTTTCATTGTCTTCGGTGGATAACTTCCTCACACGCGACACGGTTGAACCCCACTGGTCACGGTTTCTCACTAGAACTTCGAGAATTCTCCCTCGTGTGTTGGTTCGTAGATGCACACTGTTGAGGAGTCCCATACTAGGATGAAGTGGCTGTCCGTCGCTCCCAGGTTTTCAGTGGTGGTCTAACATCAATCGGTTCGTTATTTCATTGAAACTCAACAATCTCCTCAGCCATGTACCGACAGAACTCATTGTTATCTACTTTCCAGAAAAAACAATGTGAATTAAGTTGATCCACTCTTTAATATTGTCGACATTTTACCTTATTCAAATCAAAATTACAATCATTGGTAATTAATTCAATTGATTTTGGGTTTAAGAATAAAACAGAAAAAAAGAAGTGGGATTATAATCTAACGATCTGAACAATTGGATTTTACTCACTGACTTGTAGCTTGTAAATAGTTGAAGTTATACTGCGCACTTATCAGACATAGAGTTTTGTTCTCCCATAGTTTATTTATGTGACTGTTGATTTGTCGTATATGTGATTATTATGTTTCACTTATTATGAATTAAAACAGACAAAATCATCAAGCCCTAACTATAGATAACCTTATTAAACTGATTGACTTCAAGGACATTTGATGCGAATATTCTGCTTTATTTATGCTTATATGCCCTCACTTTTAAAATTTACTAAACAGGTTCGGCTTAGAAACCATCGTTCAAGCACTTGAATAGTTGATAGTGCTATCCCTTCCGTTATCTAAAGCTTTAATTTCAGTATAATTCAAATATTTGACTCATTGGAAGACACTGTTCTTCTAGCCCTACATGACCCAGCTATCCAAATAGCAGTGGACAGAACAGATAATAAATTTCAATCGATTGTTTGAAGTTAAAACACTCAAACCGTTGAACCATAAATTAATTTAATGAATAGTTTACTGGAGTATATTTCCTTACCTTAACATAATAGTGACATTTAAAATCATCACCACTCAATGTTTCTTTATTTATCATAACCGAGAAGATGGATGTACTTGGTTTATTAAAAAAGAAATAATTCTATTTATATATGCAAATATACTTGCTCTCAAATTTTAAATAGAAAATTAGTTAAGAAAGACAGTTCTTTGTCATACAAGCTCAAAATATATTACCTATTTCTAACTTCACTTTTCTATGCATTGGAAGCATATCCTGGTTGTTGAAATTAGTGGTGAGACCAGATTTACGATAACAGGTCTTGGATTTCGGCGCGAAATTAATTCACCCATTTGGCTAGATAGAATCTTGGCATTATAGCTGATGTCAGTTCGTGATGAAAACCTTAAATCTAATTCCTAACCCTAATCATCAACCGTAAATCATAATCCTTATTCTTTCGACTGCTTTATAACCCTCATTTAACCATAGTAAGTAGGTAGACAATCTCAAGGTCACTTTAGCGTTGCTCAAAGATCGTCTATAAATTATAGTCTCTCCAAATTAGTTGTTCAGGTCAATAGGATTTTCAATTATCAACCAGAAATATAAATATTTTTAGTGTTTGAAAGAACTGACTTTTAACTATTTTTTAGTTCTTTTTTAAAAAAATAATAATAATAGTGGCTTTATTGAATAGCATATTTTTAGTTACAGTTAAGAATTCTCAGCAAGAATTGTAAAAGATTGCCACAGATCCTCGATTTCTATGGATCAAACTTGCGAATGTTCAAAAATGTTTGAAAAGTATTTAAATAGTGATTAGCTAAAATTTATATTCATTCGCAAATGTTCACAACTAATATTACTTCTATAAAATCTCTTTTAATTGCACAATATGTTTCTCCAAAAGATAGATGAGAAGGGGAATTTATTAATCATCATGATGGTTTTTCGTTAATCTCTCAGTACATAAATTCACAATAAGTTGTAAACATTTTAAGAAAACGAGTAAGTACATATATGGCTATCATACATAATTAGTCTGGTAAAATAAATAGGAAACGGAAATTTCTGGTAATAAATATACATTTGAAAGATAAATGGTTCAGACGTTTGATTTGGCCACTGTTCATAGGTACAAACCTTGTGTAAATTACTTTATATTGAACAAGTGACTAGTATTACTAACACCGCACAAAATGTATAACCCCAAAACAGGCACACTAATCTATACTTTATTGCAAAGTTAAGTTATAAGTTAATTGGTGTTCACCTTTAATTCTGCAAGAAAAGGTTTGACAATCTATTATTTAGCTCAGAAATTAGCCAAGTGTAAATATCGAAGTAATAATAATGCATATACTTTTCTTCTACATACATGTCAACAATAATAAGATGATGTATGGGAATTGAAATTCCCAAGAGATTATGCATTTTATGTCTGCTTCAAATTTTTTGTCTTTATTTTGTACTACATCAACCGATTATTATTATTATTATTATTATTATTATTATTATTATTATTATTATTATTATTATTATTATTATTATTATTATTGCATAAACTAGTTGGTATTGTTCTCTAAAATATCTTCTATCTATCATTTTCATTGGTCATCATATCCAACGTAGAACCTGACACAAGTACACATCATTTACAAATTGCCAATACCATATTCAATGTTCATAGATATTTCCTTTTCTTATTAAATAATTTATCTTTAAGTATTTATTGTAACTCAAACTAATGTCATTAGCTTTGATAGACCTATTTATTTTTATGTTACTGTTAGGATCAATGAATTCACTATTATTTTCTCCCCTCTAGTCGCCTATTGATTGGTCGATTGTGTCATACTTTCTTGTTCACACTTTTGTGTAAAATGATTTACTGACATTAATCATTTTTTTATTAGATTAAAAATTCTATTTTTATTAATTGGTTAACAATAGTATCTTCGTTTATTTATTTATTTTTTTTGGGGGGAGGAAGCTTTCATTCTCATCTTTTTAATAATTTATTGATTTCAGCTTTTAATGCTTGAACCGAAACGTCGAACCTTGTGTGTAGTTTTATAGACAAGAAGTAGTACTTTTATGAGTAATCATTGAAGTATGATGTAAACACATATGTACATGTACGCCTTTCAGAAAAGAATTTGAAGTATAAGACAATGGAACAAATGCTTTTTTTATCTGGATTGACACAAATAAAATGTGCTTTCAATTTTCGTCAAATGATCAAATCACACCAATTTATTGCTACGAATTCATGAAAAATTAGTTGCTAATGTGTTCTATTGAGTTGTAGTATAATTTTTTTCTCAATCAGTTAATTGGTTTCTGTAATGTTTATTGTCTGTCATCATCAATAATATTATTACTATTAATTATCAAGAGAGAAAAAACGTGCCTTTTCAATGTGTAAAAATCATAATTCTGTTTGTTTAATCTTTTTAGTCTTCTCATTTCTCTTCTGTTGTTCTTAGTGCCTTTGTTTTAAGAGAAAATGTTGTATGTATAACTCTGTATGTATATTCTTGTCGGACTTCAATACACACACATATACGATTAGTTACTGTCTTCATCCTTTTTTCTATTGACGTGTTTTGTGCCAATTTTATATTCTTCTACTGCCTTAGATTCTGGTGCCTTAAATATTTATTACGTTATTTATTATATTATGTTATCTGTATTGTTTGTTTATTTTCACACATTTCAATATATATTTTGGCACTGATTTGATTATTGCACCAAGATTATAACCTGTTTATCGTGTAGGTTTTCTTGAAAGTTTGTTAATTGGACAACATTACTATATGTAGGTGTCAAAGAATTCATTTACGTATACATGTATACAACATTCACGGTGTTTATATGTATGTGTAACTGAATAGGATATCTTGTTACGTGTCTTAATTAATGAACGCCTTCTTTGTCTCCGTTATATGGAGTTATTTCAACTTTTGTAAAAAAAGGTTATTAATTGTGAAATATTTCTACTGGTCTTTTTTAGCTAAAGAAACGAAAAAAAAAGAAAGTTTATCTATATCAGTATAACAACTGAATTGGCAAAACTTATTCGATAATTTGTCGTTATTTATCTGTTTTTTTTCTAGATAGGCTTCTTGTTTTTTCATCGTTTATGCAGCATGTTTTGTTTTTGTGTGTATTATGTAATTCGCTCATAAATAATCATTTTAAAAGTGGTATATTCATTCTTATTCTTATTAGAATGCCTTCTGTATAACTTCTTATCACGGAATATTGAAACTTTGTTTTTAGTTTACATCTTTTTTTGTGCATATGTACACATACAAACATCTCTCTCTCTGTGTGTGTATGCAACATTCTCCTTAGTTTGTGTTTCACTTTTCATTTTGTTCATTATGCATTTATTTATTTTATCTGTATTACTTCGACTATATATTCATCATGACTGTATAATTCTGCTGTATTTCTATTAACTTGTTTAGTAGTTATGTTTAAAAAACAACCAGAAAGCTTATATTATTTTTCTTTAACCAATTATGTTAATAATTTCATATATACACTTTTTGTAATTATTTGGTGTAAGTTTAGGTAATTAAAGTAATATACATTTTTATTGTGGATCTAAATACTCTTTCTTTATAGATATATTAAGTTGGTTGTTGGCTTCACTAATTCATATTGTTCTAATTGATTATATCATACACCATGTGGCAAGAAAAGTTCATTTTTTTGCAGGAATTCTGGTAAATTAGTAGTTGCTCGGAACAAATCACTTCATTCTCTTTAAGGGGACGATTATATGGAATTAAACAACATTCAAATTTATTTTGTTAAATTTAGGTATCCATACAATAAGTATTCATTACTTATCTCAAATTATTTCGATTCTCCATAATCAAGTTTTTCATTTCATTATTTCTTTCTGTACATCATAAAACTCAACGATATATCAAAATTCTTTGTTTTTATTTGCCTTGTTGAGTCGTGGAGACTACTACCTCAGGGGTGGGGCAAATGAAATACTGTGGGTTTCGAAGTTTTATGACCGATACTGTTTAGAATTTCGACTTTTTGTAGACATCTTGTTGGGATTTAAAAATAATATTGTCAAAAAATGCCTAATAACTCATTCGTATTATGCTTCTGTACACGATATATTGCATTTATTCATAGACGAGAAAATAGATCCTTTCCGCTTCTTTTAGCGACTCCAACGAGAAGTTGGAGTTTCCAGGACTGAAATGATTGGGCTTTGTTTTATTAGGGTTTTACTATCCGGTTACCTCTATATTTTGTTTGAAGCGATGCGTGTTGAATTTCAATACAACTACATGAGGATGACAAGATCTGAGTGAGAAAAGATTTATTAATTTAACTAAACGCATATTGTGATTTTTTATGTTTCCCAGTTTCCTGTAGTTATTCAGATTACTTTAGTTTCTATAAAAAAAATGTATTACGACAATCAATTTCGCAGATCCAGTAGATTTACTGTCTGTTTTTTGATGTATTATGTAATAAATAAGACAGGATGCTTTTAAATGGTGAGCACAACTAACTTATTGTAGGTTTATATAACAATAGTTTTAATCGACTCGACTCATATAGATCGAACCGCCAAAATTGTTAATTTAAAATTGATTTCCGGCGTAGAATTCTATTTTATTCTTTAGAATAATAATTAACAGCATCTTTTGTAAAGTTTTTCACCGGACAAAGCATAATGAAGGTGTCTCTCTGGTAAACATTTGAATAACACCTTATTTGTCGGACGTTTAAATAATTACTTTCATGAACTACTTTGCAACTACTTATGAGTAGCGTGACTCTGTTATAGCAAAGTTTTACGTTATATTCATTCATGTGTGTGATCCAATCCGAAGAATGTGGTTATCCATAAAATAGTTGAATAATATTTTAATTTTACCCAGTGATCAAACTAGGACATTTGAATAATAATGCAAACTAAATTTCTACCATATTTCGATATTCTGTGTGACTCAATGCACAAATGACTGGTTTAAATATTCTCATTACAGACATTGCAAGTACAACCTGAGCGAAGAAATATTTTTCTCAGTTATGTTCTCCTCATACCTAAACTGATTAGAATTCTATTTTTTTATTATTGTTGTGCTTATCTAATCACCACAACTGAATCAGTGTATATTTCTATACCCAAATATGAAATTTCATTTTAATGTCCAGTCATGATGAGTAGCTGGATGGAAAAATATTTCTTTGCCAAATTTATGTTATTAATTTACAAGTTAATTTTCCGTTACTTTTTAAATGGGTGTCAGAATATAATACCTAAGCATTCGTAAACGCCCTATCACTCTTGATGTAATTATAAAGTATGTTCACCCACTGGTTATCGCACGTTCTAATAATTGGAAGGTTTACAGGCGTTACTGAAATTACTTTCTGTGAGCTATAACTCTCTGCCATCTATAGGTGTATTGGGAGACAAGTACATCATCATGAAGTAATTGTCCACCAATGGCATTTTGTAGATCCTTTACTGTAGTACATTCTACTGACTTGGCACTAGATGTCTGAAAAAGTATAGTCCTCTAGATGTTTGAGGAGAAAGCGATTCAGTCATACGGACGAATATTTTTATCACATACACTGATTTCAAGAGATGAGTCAATCATGAACATTGAGGATTTTACTAACCATGTAAATGTTATATACGTACTTTCCAATTTTAATCGTCTCGTATTGCAAATCATTCTTTCATAACCTCTACGTTTTGATAGTCGAAAAATCGACTTTAACTTTCCAAGGCTGTTGTAAAAGTCACTTAAAATCGTTAGTATCTTATAGTTGTACCGACTAAGAAGTAAATAGAAAAACGTCAGGAATAATTTTTGTCGCTGAAAAAATTCTCATATTAAAATACTGATATATGTACATAAATCTGTGTTGTACTAATTTTTATACACAAAATTCCTCTATATAACGTTTCAAAGTTTAACAGACTTCAATAATAGGATCATGGTCGGTATTACTGGCTATGGTAAGTATTTCAGTTTTCTCTGAATCTTTTCATCTTGGCTAAAAGTTACCTATCTTAAAAAGTCAATAGATAATTCTAAAATATAAGAAGAAAACCTATTAAGGCTCGCATAAAAAGCTTTGATATATTTACAAAGCGGTTGCAGGTCATACGGTCTTTCAGATGATGGGTAGCAAAGGAATTTATAATACGCATTTCGTTTTATTGGGGATTTGTTCACTGAGTTTCAGTGCTGATGTTCACTCTGAGACGGACAAATTATTGGCCATCTGAACTCAGTAACTGATTAGGTAACTAGTTGGTGCTTGAATTTATGGGCACTGGTCTGGAATCTCAATCTGAACAATACTATGACGGGGGCACACACTGCTAATACGTCTCTTCATAAGAATTATAACTGTCATTGAAGCAAATTAACTAGGATTTGCAATTCAGTACAGGGTCATAGAATAAATCTCATCTTTGGTTGCAACCAAAAGTGATTGATTATTTTACCATGAAATCATAGGTAATTCATTGATTATGTAGTACAAGCACAAAACTGTTATTAATAAACATGAGAAATGAGCATACAAAATATGACCCTTACAAAAATATTTCAGACGGTACAATAAAATGGTATATTGGACTTTTATTGAATATTATAGAATGGATGGATAACATCACACACACTCCAGAGTATAATTTTATACGTTTGTATTTAAGGTTTACCTATCGAGAAATCACTATTGAATTTAAAAACAGTATATTTTCATTTCAAATCACCCTTAGCAGATCTTGATTTGATCTTTAGTTCCAGGGGTGTTATTAAACTTTATTAATCTCTACCGTTTCTCTACGCTTTCCATTTACATGAATCATCCGTTTGACCTTATTTTCTGATCATATGAAACATTTCATAGGTAAATATATGGTTAAATTGTTTGAAATTTGTTGCGCAAATGTCAAGTCATTTTACTCTATAAGCATTTAAAGGAAGAACTTCATATCTTAAACTTCACGTCGGTATAATCTTTAATAGCATTTCTCGACAATCTATATAAATACGATTTTGCCAAAA